TTCTATTCTATTCTATTCTATTCTATTCTATTCTATTCTATTCTATTCCATTCCATTCCATTCTTTCCTTATTCTATTCTTCCCATTCCATTCCATTCCATTCTTATTATTTCTTTATCTTGAAAACACTTGGCACTCCAGAAGGTGAGAAACGACTCCAGAGTGAACTTAATCATTGAGGCCTTGGAAATTCCGACTTAACCACCGCAGGAGTGTGGCAGTGAGGGTGGAGAGAGGAGGCACTTACCACGTTGTCTTGGTCAGCATCGACACCAACCCTGCAGGGAAGAACACGCAAGGACTATTACTCTCCCCATTCAGACGGGGGCAAAACTCTCTGCCCAACCAGCTGGCACACAAATCCTCACCCAAAAGGCTTTGAGACGGGCGCCTCTAAATACGACCATTGGTCCTTCGTGCTAAAGTAACAGGCGGGCATGGGTGTGCAAAAGTGCGCAAAGGGGAAGGAAAGCTCAGGTGTTGGGAAAGGTGGAAGGAAAGACGAGAAGCAGGAATATGGAAGGCAAAGTTACATGATGGGGGCAGGGTTAGAAGATCTGAAGGGCCAGGTCATCCTGGAGAAAGGCTAAGGATCTGACTTGATGGCATATAATTAATGCATCGCTTCTCCATCCGAGGAGAGATTGTGGACAGTGGTGATATGCTACCGGTTCACACCGGTTTGACCGATCTGGTAGTGTGTGTGTGTGGGGGGGGGGGGGGGGAGGGCGCGGGGGGGGGGGGCGGGGCGGAGCGGCGGCGGAGGGGGGGGGGGGGGGGGGGGGGGGGGAGACGCCTACAATCAGGTGAGAGGAAAACGAAGAGTAAAGCAAAGGGTTGGCCCTCCCACTGGCCCCTACGCTTTCCTCTTCCTGATCCTCTCCGCGGATTGGCGCTGCAGAGTCTCAGCTGGTGTGGGGAAAGCTGTGCGGGGGCGTTAAGCAAAGCACGCCCACCGTGTGTCATATCTACTGAACCGGTGGTAAAACCATTTGAATCCCACCATTGTGTCAACTCATAAAACATTCCTATGCCTGTTTTAGTAGTTGCCATAAAAAAGGGGGGGGGGGGAGGAAGGAAATCTGGAAGAGCAGTTGAAAGCATTCCAACTCTTCTCTTTAAAAGATTGTAGCTAAAATACCAGAGCTTTTGCCTGCAAATATCTTTCATCGGAGAACGTGAACGAGGACACCCAGCCCGTGAAGGGGCTCAATTGGAGAAGCTGATTTATGACACACCCAGCAGGGGGGGGGGCGGAAACAGGGTCACAGGGGACTGTAAATGACCTATGCCAGAATTGGCTTCATACAGGGCAGGGCCAGTATGTCGCCTCTAATGAATCCTTGGAAGTTTTTCGAAATTTGGCTCCAGAATCACGATTGAATTAGGGCGATTGCTGGAATCCTGACACGCTGATTGTGGAGCACAAGTGGATACACCTCACACCTCTGCTCAGATGTGAGCTGGGCTGGCATTCATGAGACGGCCACCCTTGGGAGGTTGGCACGGTCTATTCCTGCCTTCACATGCTCATCACCCAGCGCCAAGCTGACATCCAGTGGCTCAGAGGATGCTTTTCGTAACCGGATGTGGCCCCACGCCGTTTGCATGTGGGTTCCTTCTTCCCGAAAGGACACCTCACCCCAATTCACGGCAGGGCGAAACAAAACCAAAAAAACACCCAATTGCAATTCGCTCCGTTGAAGCCAGCACTGCCCTTATCCCGAAAAGACATAAACCAACTTGCTCAATGTTGCCAGTGATCCGTAAAGTGGCTCTACTGCTCTTTTCAAGCCCACCATGCTCAGGATGGCCCCACCCGAATTAAGCAATTCCGCTCGCAGCTGAGGAAGAGGAAGAGGAAGGGCAGGAAGGGCCTAACTCACCGAATGTGCAGGCACGAGAGCATCGGGGTGGTGCCGCCGCCGAAGACCCAGACGGTGAAAAAGACGATCAGCAGAGTCGTACTGAACATCACCTGCCGCGCATAGGTGGCTGTGTCCCGGATGGCCAAGGCAAACGCCATGGCTCCCCGCAGGCCTAAGAGAAAGGGGCGTGAAGTTTCCCTCAAGCTGGTTGGGTTTTCTAGTCCAGGCCCACCCACCCACCCCTCCACCTCCAGGCTGCGGCCTGTTTGGAACCAGCCCGCAAGTGCGCACGCTCACATAAGAACCTCCATTTGCACACAAGTGGCAGCCATTCGCGGGCATGCTTGAAGTTCCATTTGGGCACACATGGAGTTGCGCATGTGAGCATACATGCCTGCCACTCACATGGAACTATTTCCTCTGCTTCTCACCCACCCCCACCCCGGCTGGGTCCACCTAGCCAGAAAGGTTGGGGAAGCATTTTTCTAGTCCATTTCAAACCATTAGTCAGCCATTTTTAGCCTTTGCACAAACATGGACAAGCCATCTTCAAAGGTGGAGAAAACCATCATTTCACTTTCTTTCCCAGTCCTTAACAGGATTCCCCGCATCTATATATAATCTCCCGTAAATGTCTGTGCATACTTCCTTGTGCCTTTTTTCCTATAATATCATTTATTATATAATTTATTATAATATAATAAACAGTTTTTCCCCGGCCATCACTCTGCTAAACAAATAATTCCCTCAACACTGTTCAACTATCACTGTTAATTTTCTCATGAATTGGCTGTGATTTATGTGGGAGTGAAGCTTTCTGCAAATGATCAGGTCTCCTCTGGCTCCCTTACCTCCACTGGTTCGCTTCCTGAAGGCAATTTGTTCAGCCCGATAAGAAATATTTACCTGGCCCTCCTCCTTCACTCCAATATAATCTTAAAAACTGGAAGGGGCCCATCCTTCGCCTCTCTAAGAGCCACCTTTCCTTCTTTCGTGTGCAATTATTTGTGGCAGCCAGATTCAAAGGAGTCCAAGGGCTACTCACCAGCAAACATCATCATGTGTTGAATGTTCGTCCCAATCTTGTTTCGCCTCCCCAGGTTAAGAAGGAAAGAGAGGGGGTAAATGTTTGCTGCTCTTCCCAGGAAGACTGCCAGCTAGATTCGTGGCTGCATTAAGGAAATTATTTTCCGATAGAAGAAAATATTTATAGCTCAGGGCGGAACTGGAAGGGGTGTGTGTGCGTGTCCTTGATGCTCCCTGAGCTGGGTGGTTTCCTTGCAGACGTTTCATGACCCAACTAGATAACATCATCAGTGGTAGAAGGGAGTTGGGTTTGCTCTCTATATGCATACGGTCCCTTCTTGCACTGATGATGTTATCTAGTTGGGTGGTGAAATGTCTGCAAGAAAACCACCCAGCTCAAGGCAGCATAAAGGATCCCGCAAATTAATTGCTCTTTTAAGCCCACTTTAAAATTACACAGGCTGCTTAACCTGGTTCACAGCAGCTTAGAATGTCATCTAAATGTCACAACCAATGTTGGCTTCTTTACTTCCTCACCAGGTGGGTGGGCTAAGAATTTTTCAGGGCCAGAAAAGGCTTGCCACTAAAAATGCCACAAAGCAAAAAAAAAAAAAAAGCCCAAATGAGCTTCTGTTGGATTCTGTCTTTTCAGACTGAGCCCAGATACGCTGGTTGGTAAAGTCTGCCCAACTTGCTGGTCAGCTAACCCAGGTTTGGACACTTCTCACAACATCCAATAAACCAGGATAAAACAAAAAGGGTGTAAAACAACATGCAAACTCAGTGCGTTGTTTTTTTTTTAACTAATCACTGCTTTTTCCCCTTCCCTGAGAGTGTTCATTATTAAATTATCTATATCGCTCAGTGCTGAATTTACACAAGCATGTTTCAATCCTGTTTAATTGGGAGTAATAACCGTATTCAACTCTCCGGGTTTCTCTTTCTTTAGCCCCCGTTTTCCAGACAATTATCCTACACAACCCGACGTGGCTCCCCCTCATATATTTTTTTCAAACAAAAAAGGATACAAAAGCCCCAACCACGAAGGTTGGATTGAAGACGTGGTTCTGGAACGTGAACAGTGTAAGCCCCATGTAGGAAAAAATGAAGTTCTCCGCCAAGAAGTTGAGTAGCTCAAACAACTAAAATATTGGACAAGATGAGAGAGAGCAGCGGTAGATGGTCCTCGCAATGACAGCGACCCAAATATTTATTTAAAGTGATAGGGGAAATTCTTCAAAGCGTGGACCGCACAAGATAGAGAAGCCAGCATTAATTTATTAAATTTATAAGGGGGACAGTGGGCAATTAAAAAAAAATTATTGCAACTCTCCTGCGTTAAGGGAAGTGTCCCTCCCTGGCAATTCTGCTCCAAGGCCTCACCTGTTTTGTCCTGTGCTGAGATTCTGTGGACAAGTTGTTGTAGGTATAGTGAGCTTGAGTGATGCCACAGAACAAAACTGCCACCACACCTGGGGACAAAATATTGGATGAATAAGAGAGCCTGCAGCCCCCCATAGCCCATATCCTGTTTTTCTTCAACACACCTTTTTATTATGGTTTAGCATGGTAGGTGAGTGTTGCACCTGCATAAACCTAATTTTAGAATAGAAGAGCAGAGTTGGAAGGGACCTTGGAGGTCTTCTAGTCCAACCCCCTGCTTAGGCAGGAAACCCTACACCACTTCAGACAAACGGTTATCCAACATCTTTTTTAAAAACTTTCAGTGTTGGAGCATTTACAACTTCTGGAGGCAAGTTGTTCCACTGAATTGTTCTCACTGTCATGAAATTTCTCCTTAGTTCTAGGTTGCGTCTCTCCTTGATGAGTTTCCATCCGTTGCTTTTCTTGTCCTGCCTTCAGGGGCTTTGGAGAATAGCTTGACTGCCTCTTCTTTGGGGCAGCCCCTCAGATATTGGAAGGCTGCTATCCTGTCTCCCCTAGTCCTTCTTTTCATCAGAGACTAGCCCTGCCCAGTTCCTGCACCCGTTCATCGTACCTTTTAGCCTCCAGTCCCCTGATCCCCTTGGTTGCTCTTCTCTGCACTCTTTCTAGAGCCTCAACCTCTTTTTTTTACATCGTGGTGACCAAAACCGAATGCAGTCTTCCAAGTGTGGCCTTTACCAAGGCATTATAAAATTTATGGGCTTGGCATTGGCTTTCAGACTGATCTGAACAAACTCTGCTTAAAGCCAAAAGCCGTCAGGACGGGCGGGTCCAACAGAAACCCACAGGCCTTTTAGCTACGCAGAATACTTCCACCTCCAGGTGAGAGCAATCAGCCCCAATAGGTTGGTAATGACATAGTTCGGTGTTGCATAAAAACAGCTCCTCCCATTACACCCCACAGTCTCAGGCAAGAAAGCAGCCCGTCCTGGAAACTCCTTAGAGAAAACTGGAGTAACTAAAGACCACAAGCTCCATCCCAGATGCTCAAACCCCCCCACGGCTGAACCGTCCCCAGGGGTTTTGGGGGGGGAAGTGGGGAACCTTTTTGGGTGTGGCCTTTTCAGCATCAGAGAAGTTGGGTCGCTGCCGATTTGGCAAGGATTTAAATCTCACTGGGGGGTTTCCTGGTACCATTCCACTCAGGCGGTACGAGGGAAGAAGCGCATGGCCACTTACCGGTAAAACCACACGCTTCGGCCAAGAGGAAGGTGCTCCAGGACATCAGGAAAAACAAGCCTGTTTCCAGCAGGTGGAAGTCGTGGAGTTTGGTAAACTTGGTGACGTGGAGCTGGAAGAAGTTAAGGAAGAAATCCAGCAGAGATTGCTGCAGATTTGGGGGGGAGGGGGCAACACTCCAACAAAAACAAGAGAAATTTCTCAGCGAGGTCACTAAAGTGTCCCCAAATCAGGGAAAGATATAAACTGAGCAAACTTGAGGGGTTCAAGCCACCACCCCATAAATGCACCAGCAAAGCTGTGGCTTGTCAAATATTGGGCCTTTTGGCTTTAACGCTCTCAGCTTGCAATCCAGGGGAGAAGAGTGCAAGTCATGGACCCCTGTGTGGCCTTTTTCTTGGAATGTTTCTGCCCTTTGCATTCAAATGGTCTGGCACTATTTGACTGGACTGGCCTTTAATTGAATCACTTGACAATTAAAAGAGAGCCTTTATCAGCCCAATAAGGAAATACGTTTTGAGAGGGTGCTTTTGACCAGCTGAAATGGATATTTTTAATATGTATGTATGTATGTATGTATGTATGTAGTGTGTTTGAGTGTGTGTGTGTGTGTGTGTGTATAATTTATTTATTGGATAGATATATATTTTGGATATGTGGCTGAAATGGATATAATTATACACACACACACACACACACACAATTTACGTTTACATATACATACATGTATGTGTGTGTGTGTGTGTGTATCTGTTTTCTTAAGTTTTCGCGGGTACTTACATGTATGGTATTCAGCTTTGTTCGGGTATTTTCCCACGTCATTATAGTTGTGCTTTTAAAGTTGTAGCAATGTTTCGGCAGAATCTCATCTGCCATCATCAGGCTTCTGTATTGTGCAACAACTGTAAAAGTCTGACTCACAGACGAACACAATACAGAAGCCTGATGATGGCAGATGAGATTCTGCCGAAATGTTGCTACAACTTTAAAAGCACAACTATAATGACGTGGGAAAATACCCGAACAAAGCTGAATACCACACATATATATATATACACACATACATATACTTTTACATATGCTTTTACATATACATATACGTACACATACACATGTATATATGTATATTTCTCTCTCTCTCTACAGTTTGGATATTTGTGGCCAATCAAGTTGATAATAAATGGGTTAGAGCTTTAAGTCTGTTCCTGAAGAAAAGCAGCATCTTAGCAATGATAAAGTTATAGAGTTATTTACTGACAAACCAAAATTCTGAATTCTTTCCCTGAGGGTGGGGGGAACCTCCTTACTGTGCCGGTTTTTACAGCCTCCCGAGCGGCAAACCTTCTCGCTCAGAAACAAGAGAGTTTCCGACGGACAAACCAAGGATATCAGAGCAGTGACCACGCCAGTGGCCGCCCCCATGGCGAATGATCCGCTGAAAATCCCCAGGAAGATCCCGATGGATTTGAACATGGCGGTCACATCGAAAGTGTGGCTGTTGTCTCCGGCGGGCTGGTAGGCAACGATTGAGCTGTGGGGAACACAGAACGCAGACTGTTTAAAGCCGGCTCTTCTTCCACAGCGATTCCCCTCCGCCGTTCTGCTAGTGCTGGAGCGGTGCGGTGGCCCAGAGGCGGAGCTCTCAGGAGGCTGCGAGCTCGACCCTAGCTGGAGGCAGATACTTCTCTCTCTGGGCACGATGAGAATGTCTCTGCTGGATATAACTCCGCACTGGGGACAGGAAGGGCATCCAGCCAGTAAACACTCAGCTCCATTCAGCTGCCTAGACTCCATCCCGCAAGGGATTGAAGTGGAAGAAGATTTTGCTAGTGGCAGATGCGCCAAGAATCATTTGGAAGAGCCGTGGTGGCGCAGTGGTTACAATGCAATATTGCTGGATAATTCTGCCCACTGCCAGGAGTTCTATGCTTAACCAGCTAAAGGTTGACTCAGCCCTCCATCCTTCCGAGGTGGGTCAAATGAGGACCCAGATTGTTGGGGGCAAGAGGCTGACTCTGTAAACCGCTTAGAGAGGGCCGGAAAGCACTGTGAAGTGGTATATAAGTCTAAGTGCTATTGCTCTTCCTTCCTTCCTTCCTTCCTTCCTTCCTTCCTTCCTTCCTTCCTTCCTTCCTTCCTCCCTTCCCTTCCCTTCCCTTCCCTTCCCTTCCCTTCCCTTCCCTTCCCTCCCTCTTATTCCCTTTCTCATTCTCCTTCCTGATAGCACAGTGGTTAGGATGCAGCATTGCAGGCTAACTCTGCCCACTGCCAGCAGTTCGATCCTGACCGGCTCAAGGCTGACTCAGCCTTCCATCCTTCCGAGGTGGGTACAATGAGGACCCATATTATTGGGGGCGATAGGCTGACTATGTAAACCGCTTAAAGAGGGCTGGAAAGCACTGTGAAGCAGTATATAAGTCTGAGTGCCATTGCTATCACTTTCTATAAGGCACAACCGCTTTGCAGATGTTCCCTAACTTGAGCTGCCTCTGCCGGGGGGGGGGGGGGGGGGGGGCCATGTCGGGCGAAAGACACACAACTTACGAAGACAGCACAATGGCCACTGCGTCGTTGAGGACACTCTCTCCAAAGAGAAGGGCGTAGAGCTCAACGTCCACTTGAAGTTCATGGAATATGGCGAGGACTGTCACTAGCCGAGAAAAAAAAGAAGAGCAAAGAATTTGCTAGAATCCCAAGTTAGCTTACTGCATTGTTTACCTGGCAACATCTCCACCTTCAAAATACAAGAGAGATGCAAACATCTGTAGAAAGATCCAACAAACGCTTATAGGACAGGATCAAGTCTGGGTCAGTCACCAGGACTGGAGGTTTTTGTCTTCAGGAAACCCCTGTCTAGCTTCTAGGACAATCCACCCCAAGCCATTCATGAACACTTTGCATGGATTCTTCCACCAAAGTCCTTGACAAAGACTTCACGGAATAAATTGAAAGGCTGAAAGAGTTGAAAGAAGACTGTTCCTTGGGATACTTTGAGGAGGTCAAAGTTTGTTAGGAATAACAAGGTTACCTAACGTAGTTTGGGTAAAATAATATATATAAACTATGATAGTAAGTTTAAGTGTGTGTCACTTTAAACTGCAAAGCATGTAATTTTGGGTGCGGTTGTAAAACCGCCATAAGAGGGAGCAAGAGAACCTGCTGGATTGCTAACTATGCTGGATTGATGGTTTGCTAATTGCGTGTTCCCTGCTGCTGAGTTTTTTGGAACGTCGAAGGAAGAAAGGAGGTTTGACTTCTTTATATCTCTACTGCGAGGAGATATATTACTGGACTGATATTTGTAAGTTTACTAACCTCTTTTTCGACACTGGACTTTGCAACTGAATAATCCCCGAACGGACTGAACTAGTGAATGATATATGGACTGTTTGACTATGATAAAACTCTTACTGGAATAAACTATTTAACTAGCACAGTGTATCTGTTTTTACTGAGTGTAAGCTACAAAAACGTTTATCACACATATTTGCCTGCCTGCCTGACTGCCGTGCAAATTCTGCTAGGGTGTATCCCTAACAAAGTTACTCAGGAATCTTAACGAGATTCCTGTGAGACTTAAAAGGCCATTTCTATCCCGTTCTAGATCCTTGCTACATCAATATATACATCAAGGAGCCTCGGTGGCGCAGTGGTTAAGAGTGTGGTACTGCAGGCTACTTCTGCTGCCTACCGGCTGCCTACAATTTGGCAGTTCAAATCTTACCAGGCTCAAGGTTGACTCAGCCTTCCCTCCTTCCGAGGTGGGTAAAATGAGGGTCCAGATTGTTGGGGGAGCAAGAGGCCGACTCTGTAAACTGCTTAAAAAAGGACTGGAAAGCACATAAGTCTAAGTGCTTTTGCTAACTCTGCCCACTGCCAGCAGTTTGATCCTGGTCGGCTCAAGGTTGACTCAGCCTTCCCTCCTTCCGAGGTGGTTAAAATGAGGGCCCAGATTGTTGGGGGAGCAAGAGGCTGACTCTGTAAATCACTTAGAGGGCTGCAAAGCATTATAAAGCGGTATATAAGTCTAAGTGCTATTGCTTATTGCTAATATCTTTTCAAGAAACTCAGACACAGGCATACAATTCTCTCACAACTTTTTTCCCCCTCTTGTGAAATAAACCAGACTCTGCTTGAACCCCAAGATTACTAACGTCGGCTTGCTGGGCTTTCGGTGGGCATCCAAAACTCCACCTGATCTGATCCAGCAAAGATGGATCTTGCTCTATTCCAGAATGGTACCTCCACATTTGCAGGGCACAAGGAGGCCAAAACAAGAAAAATCCACTTGTAATTATATAAAATTAGACAAGAAAGTTATATATGTGTAATTATGATCATGTTTGATTTAAAATGTAAAACAAAAAAAAACCTGGAACCACACTGTTCACTTAAAGATGTATTGAAAGAAATAAAAAATATATAAAAAAAAAGAAAAATCCACTCTGTTCCCAGCTGGCATTATTTTGAGGAGGGTCCCTGGTTCCCCCCTTACAACCTACCAGGATCCGTAGCGGAGGCGATGGCACCGAAAAGCAGGCAGTCGGTAAAGTAGAAGTCTCCCCCAAGCTGCCCCATCACTTTCATCAGCGCAACACAGCCGTACATGATGGACCTGTGGAACGCACGAGAGTTGGCATTGCGATCACCCTGGCAAGCAGAACCTCATCACAGACAGCTCTAGATCTACGCCCGCAACCGAGCCCCCAAATTTCTGCTGCTAAGTGAGGGAATCAGGGCCCTTTCCTCCCCCGTAAGCCACGCAACCCATGTTGCTCCCTTCTCCGTTCTTCCCTGTGTGCCCTAGGATGAAGAGGGAGTGGGCCTGGGTCTTCCTCTGAACTCCTTCTCCCTTGCTCTACCTCTCCCCTGCTCTGCCCAGCCGGACTTTGCCCTTCCCCAGTTTCTTCCACAGCCAACGGAGCCACATTCCCACTCCCTGTCAGCTGTTCGGCCTCCCCCTCCAAATCAGATTCTGACAGGAGCATGACAGGAATCCAGCTTTGCCAGGAGGTTGCAAAAGGGGATTGCGTGCCACCCATCATAAGTACGAACCGGTTGTCAAGCATCCAAAAGCAAATCACGTGGCCATGGGGATGCTGCAAATGGCATAAGTGTGGAAAGTTGTCATTAAGTATTTCAGTGCTGTTGCAACTTTGAACGGTCACTAAGTGAACTGTTGTAAGTCGAGGACTGGCTGTATTCTTCATTTATTGAGACGGGGGCAGCCTTGTGCACCTCACTCTTTCCTGCACCCACCCTTGGCAGCCTACGAGCTTCTGGGAAGCACATATGGCCTCCAATCCTAACTAACAGGCTTCTGCTGGGCCCAGGTGTTCGTCTCTCCTTCCCCAGATGCAGCTGGGAGGAGTTAAACTTTCACATTCTCTCCGGCCATCATATCACACACAACAACTAAATCCAGACACACTTTAATCTTCAATATAAAGTTTTCATGCAGAATAGCAGAGTTGGAGGGATGCGGCGGCTCCGTGGCTAAGACGCTGAGCTTGTCGATAAGAAAAGGTCGGCAGTTCGGCGGTTCAAATCCCTAGCGCTGTGTAACGGAGGGAGCTCCCGTTACTCGTCCCAGCTTCTGCCAACCTAGCAGCTCGAAAGCATATAAAAAATGCAAGTAGAAAAATAGGGACCGGCCACATGACCACGGAAACACCTTCGGACAGTGCTGGCTCTTTGGCTTTGTAAGAGAGATGAGCACTGCCCCCTAGAGCCAAAAATGACATACGTGCAAGGGGAACCTTTACCTTTACCTGAGTTGGAAGGGACCTTGGAGGTCTTCTAGTCCAACTCCTGCTCAAGCAGGAAACCTTATACCGTTTGACAAATCTCTGCTTTAAAAAAAAACCTAGATGGGCCAACTTCCAAGTGGTTTAGTGATTGGGTCAAACCGACACAATTAAGATTAACCAACCATAGTTCATTAATATGTTAAATTTTCTCCCATGGAACAAAAACTTATCATGGGCACAACGGATCAGAAGGGGAATCACAGAACTCTGAAAACTGGGTTTGTTTCTCAGCACACCCAAACCAGCCTGGAATTTTTCAGCTTCTCGTGTTTAAAAATGCAACTTGAGGCCTTGCGCCTTGAAGCTCTTGCTCGTTTTGTTGTGATTTAGGCTGTTTTAATTGCCTTATTGTTGTCATGGTTTTAACCTCTGGCATGGCAGCTGCTCAGGAAGCACTGCTGATTAGGTAATATGCAAAAGATGTAAACAGGGAACATTTTTAGAAGCAGGAATTCTCACCCTATCACAAAACAGGAAATTGCTGTTCCAAGAAATGCATATGCTAAAATGGATCCAAGGTTTCGGAAGAAGTGACGCTTGAAAAAAAAAAGGGGGAGAGAGAGAGAGACTTTGGTTACTTTAAATGCTAGGAATGATTGAGCTAGAATGACATAGCAATTTTTTTTTCTCAAAGTCCCACTGAACCCTCCCTAAACATACAATTATTTCAGGCAAAGAGCAAATAATAGCACAATATGCTTGGCTTATCTCTCCAGCACTTAAAATGCCTTTCCAGCTAAGATGTTTTACAAGCATACAATTACTCATTTTTTCCCCCTAACATGGGTGGACAAAAATCCACGTTAGGACCGATAGCCCCTCCTGTAGGCACTTCGTGTCTGGTTACAAATGACTGATTTTGGAAAGATCGGGGCACCTTTGGCCTGGAAAAAATAATATTTCACAGCATACTATTTTTTTATTATCCAATTTTATCTTTCTGGCAGAAATTCTGTTCTGGTTGTATTATTATTGCACTGAAAAGCTAGGTATAAGAGAGGGCAATCCAAGGTTTGGATTGCAAAGGATAGATTTTGCTTCAAGGATTTATTTTCTCTTGCATACGTTGTACAGGTCCTGTACAATGGATAGAAAAATTGTTTATATAAAAGATTATTCCTCCTGTTTCAATTATTGTTGCAAAGTAGAATCTTAAGGCATTAAATCCAAGAGAAAATGAGCTGACTCCATCCAAAACAGACTGAAGTTGTCCTCAAAGACAATAGATCAGGTGGGTGATGCCTGCTTTATGTTCTTCTCAACAAGTGTGTTGCTACCCTGGGTGATTTGAAAGAGGGTTAGAAGGAACAAACACCTACCCGTTTTAAGCTATATCCAGCGTAAAATATGATTGGAGGGAGCAAAATGTTGAAAAAGACTTCAGGATCAAAAGTTACCTGTAGGGTATTAAAAGAGAGAATCAAAGCATCACAAGGGACCCAACTTCAATGGGTATAGAGTAAAACCTATGGGTTTGGTGAAGCGCATTGTCGCTCAAAACAAGAACTGCCAAGTTTGAAGAGCCTTGTTCAGTTCGGCATCCCAGAATTTTCAACTGCACAAACGGGAGGCATTAGTTGAGTTCACACCCGTGAAACTTCCAGAATCGAAACAGTACAGCCTGGGTTGGCAGTCACTGAGTCTGTGATGCACAACACATCAGAATAATGTAGTATGCCCCCCGCCACACCAGAGATGGGATTCAACCGATGTTACTACCAGTATGGTGATTACGTTTTGCACGATCTGATGAATAGGTGAAGGAAGCACCTTTTATTTGGCCATGGAAGGACAGGTCTAGGGTGAGTTTGCCTCTTTAGGACTTTTGAATAATTATAAATGGCTGACCTCACACAATTTGGTGCCGGTTTGCCTCTCCCAAAGGCCAGACGCACCCAAAGTGGCAAGCTGCATCCCAGCAATTCACATTTGGACTTAAATTAAGGGATTTCTTGAATAGGCAAAGCTGAGAAGTTTAAGGAACAGCAACCAGCCCAGAGAAACGGCAGCAGAGGTGCCTTCAAAAACTACATTGTTTTCCCCCCAGACTCCTTTAGAAACCTGGGGCAAAGCTACGACAGAATTTCAAACGTGTTTTCTTAGAACGTTTGATCTAAAACGGTGGGAAAAGTGGAAGTGGAAAGCATTAAGAGTTTACCTTCCGCAGCATCTCATTATCTTGAACATTATTGAGTTCGTGGGAACTGATTTCCCCCTTCAGGGTATACTCATAAAACTTCCCACTGAGGTTGACCAGCAAAGTAGCTGGGCTCGTTTGCATCGGGCAGCTCAGAGTCACGTTGTTGATATCGCTGGGAATGTGGATGCCGTATCGAAGGATGACCCCCACCAGGACTCCTGCAAGAAACACAGAGGACTTCAGGTGTGCTGGAATTCCAGAGCAATCCTGAGAGGTTCAGAGTTCAGGTCTATGCATTTCCTAGCACCCTCCTTTCACCAACTGTCAGGAAGAACTGCTCCAGCAAAACCGGGGTGAAACAGAAGAATCAAATGGTGCCTGAAAGGAATAAATTCAACCCCTCAAATCATGCAAGGCCTCAGCAAAATAGCTCAGAATTACACTGCTTGTGAACGACATGCCAGCACTGTTTCCTAGATGTTGTTTAAAAAAATGGCAGAATGGCAGCAATGAGAAGACAGTGTAGAAGATTCAAGCCCCCAGGTGAACTATGATGCACAAATCAGACCATAAAGATATGAAGGATCCTGAGAGATCATCTAACCCAACCCCCCAACATTTAAAAAAAAATCTATTACTACAACTGCAAAGCCACTTAAAATAGGCATGTTCTCGTCCGTCAGTCTGACAGGAGCAGCCGATAAATTTAAACTTGAAACTTTTCCGTTAATGTCCGTTGAGCAACCGGTGGGTTTCCACTGAAGCTTTTCAGCTCAGTAGGTTTCCCAACACTCTTCCTGAGATCAACTAAGAAGAAATGGCAGCAGATCTCTTGAGCAACTTCTAAAAGATTTGTCAGGACACGTTGCAGATAAAAATCCAAGATGTGTACCTGTATTACAGGGATCTGCTATGCTGGGGGGGGGGGGGAACCACCTTTTTGGCCAGATTAATCTAGACTCTTAGATTCAAATAGCTAATCAATAGGACAGCAACCCAGTTCAAAGAACACTCTAAAATGTAGTTTTGTTAGCTAGCATACCGGTAGTCCTTGACTTATGACCTCAATTGAGACAAACTTTCTGTTGCTAAATGAGGCATCTATTGAGTGAACATTGCCTCATTTTACGACCTTTCTTGCCACACTTGCTAAATGAACCACTGCCGTTGTTAAGTTAGTAACACAGTTGTTACGTGAATCTGGCTTCTCCACTGACCTTGTCAGAAGGTTGCACGAACTGATATAATTCCTTTTTTATATTTCTTTTATTGGCCAAGTGTGATTGGACACACAAGGAATTTGTCTTGGTGCAAATGCTCTCAGTATACAGAAAAAAAAAGCTACATTCATCAAGAGTCAAGAATCATAAGGTACAAAACTTAATGATAGTCATGGGGTACAATAAGCAATCAAATCATACTAGGAAACAGTCAATATAAATCGTAAGGATACAAGTGACAAAGTTATAGTCCTACAGTCACAATTGGGAGGGGTGGGTGATAAGGAGTGATGAGAAGATTAATAGTAATAGTAATGCAGACTTTGTAAATAGTTGGACAGTGTGGAGGGAATTGTTTAGCAGTGATGGCATTAGGGAAAAAACTATCTAGTTGTTCTGGTGTGCAGTGCTCTATAACGTCACTTTGAGGGAAGGAGTTGAAACAGTTTATGTTCAGGATGTGAGGGGTCTGTAGATATTTTCACAGCCCTCTTTTTGACTCCTGCAGTATCCAGGGCCTCGATGGAAGGCAGGTTGGTAGTAATTGTTTTTTTTTCTGCAGTCCTAATTACTCTCTGGAGTCTGTGTTTGTGCTGTTGGGTTGCAGAACCGAACCAGATAGTTATAGAGGTGCAGATGACAGACTCAATCATTCCTCTGTAGAACTGGACCAGCAGCTCCTTGGGCAGTTTGAGCTTTGAGTTGGCCCAGAAAGAACATTCTGATCACGTGACTCCAGGACCCTGCAACTGCCATAAATGTGAGTCAGTTGCCAAGTGTCTGGATTTTGATCAAGGGACCATGGGGATGGTGCCATGGTTGTGTGAAACATCGACATAAATCACTTTTTTCAGTGCCGTCGTAACTTTGAAGGCTCACTAAATGAAGCGTTGTAAGTCGAGGACGAGCTGTATTTAATGATTCCCACACTAGCAACGTTAGTGATGCCAGGTCGGGGTTCAGCCCCCCCTTTTCCCAACTAAGCAGGGTCCAACCCTTCTGGACCCCCCCCAAATTCTCTCTCTGAGGTGGGGGGGGTCACTGGGGGAGACCACCCCAAACCTCCCCCTCCCCTTTTTGCTGATTCCCCCCCCACCAACGCCTGTGACACCACCACCACCACTCAGAAAACGGGGGTTCATCCCAGGGTGGCTTTGGCTGGGTGGGGGGGGGGGGGCAGCCAGGCAGGGTCCTGCGAGGGGTGGGGGCGCCGGCGGCAGGGGATGATGGGCTCTGGGGCGGCTCACCATAGATCATGGCCAGCCCGGTCTCGTGCAGGAAGCGGGCGCGGCGGTGCTTGAAGAGCCAGATGGTGAGGATGGTGAGGGTCAGCAGGAGGATGAAGACCAGCAGGTTGGCGCTGTCCTGCCGGTGACTGGCCTCCGCCGCCTTCTCGGCCACCAGCTCTTCCTCCAGGCCGCCGCCCGGACGACGCCCACCCGCCCCGGGGCCCGGATCCAGGCCCAGCACCAGCAGCAGCAGCGCCGCCATGGCTCCGCTTCGAGGCCACCCCTCAGCGACCCGGTTCAGCGCCTCAGCGGGACCGCGATGCCCATCATCCCCGGCCGAGCGCCCGCCGCCCCGCCTACACGGCTTCGCCCCGCTCCTCTCCACCGCCCCGCCCCGCGCGCGCACCGAGCGACGTCATCGCGGCGCGCCGTGCGACGCGACGCCGGAGGCCCCTCCTCCTCCGCTGGCTCTCACTCGCGCGCTGGGCTTCTCCCGAGCCGCGCATGCGCAACGCGGCGCCCTCGGCGGCTGAGGGAGCAGGAGGAAGAGGAGGAGGAGGAGAGGCGGATGATGGCGGCCGCCTCTCTCTGGAAAGGGCTGGTCGGGCTCGGGCTCTTCGCCCTGGCCCACGCGGCCTTCTCCGCCGCGCAGCGTGAGTGACGCGCGTGGGAAGGGGGGAGGGAGGGGGCTTCTTCCCCCGCCTCTCCCCCACCCTCTCCGCCGTGGGGCAGAAGGGAGGAGAGGGCCCCGGGGCGGTTGGGCCTGAGGGGAAGGAAGAGCCGGGGACCCGCGTCCGCCCGCAGCTTCTC